GCAAAGAGGTCGGACTCGAAGTCGTTCATCAAAGTCTCGTAGTCCCTTTGACCAGTTGTGTGCTTGTTGAACAGAGCAAAAGGACTGTCCGGAGGCTCCGCCGATGCTTCGAAGCTTTCCTTGTCCAGCTGCAGCTTCCAAGTCAGCCTCCCCGTCTTCCTCCTCCCTCTCCTCTTCTAAGCTCCCCCCACTTTCCCTCCTCCCACGCAAGTCTCACCGGAAGTATGTACGCCTTCATCGACTTCACCCGCCCATGGCAGTCGAACTCCTGCTGCTGCACAAACCTCGTCACCACGCAGCCTGACTCTCTGCTGCTCCCCAGATCTCGGATACAGCCCACGAGACTGAATGGACGCCCCGGGCTCGTCGCATACAACCATGTCCCGAACATCACGTAGCAAAAGTAGTTGAACTCCGTCGTCACCAGTGACATCTCCCGGTTCGCGATCCTCGCCAGCGCCTCCTCCGCATGTAGCCCTAGTATCCTGCATGCCGCATCCGATATGTACACATGCGCTCGCGTCCCCGTAGATGGATGCAGATGCTGTGTGATCACCCCGAAGCTCTGCTGCCCGTACAACGCCCTCTCAAGCTCCAGGTCTTGCTCTAATACCGCCTCACTCTCCATCAGCAGCTGCACTTGCGGAGCCCGAGCTTCCTTCTCCATCTTGTCCGCCATAATGATCTCGATCGCATGCAGCGCTCGTCGCGTCACCTGCTGCAGGTAAGGAGGAAGCGAGACGAAAATGTTCACCAGCTCCTTGGAGCTGAAGCCGAACTCCCAATGTCGGGCCAGCACTCGGTCCGGCCAGCCCATGGAGTTCATATGCTCACGCAGCAGGGACGGCGTGTTGAAGGAGAGGCTGCGGATCCAGAAGTCGAGCGGCCTCTCTACCTGCAGCTCTTGCAAGCAGGCGAGATGGTCAGGAGGGAGAGAGAGCTGGTAGATGTCTTGGATCTCCTGCTCCTGCCCTTCTGCGATGGTTTCATACTCAGACTGCATAGCCTTCCACTTCGTCTTATTCCTCGCCATCACCATTTCTTGCTCCTCGCTTGCTCCTTCCTCTTGCTCCTTTTCATCCAGCCTGTGTGATTGAATGGGCTGCAGCTCCCTATATGCACATCTCGATTCCCGCCCAAGACGCTTGCAACGCGCGCATGGGCGACCCTCGTCGCATCTTGCTTTCGCGATCTTGCACGTGATACACGAGTTGAAACCTCTCCTCCTCTCCTCCTTCTCCTCCATCGCCCTGATGCAGCTCTCTCCGATGTTCAGCCGAGTGCATCTGAGTCGATCAATGAGTGACATGAGACCGGGTGGTCTAGACTAGCAGACCAACTGCACACAAATACGCCAACCTCCAGTTCCCCCCTCACCCCCAATCCTACTCCTCACAGCCCTCCACACCTCCTGCTCCACCACCTCCCCCATCTCCTCCTCCTATCTGCCAGCTACATCCTCTCCCCTGTCCTCACCTTGCGCATGGCTGGAAGTTGTCGCACTTGTGCCTCGCGTCCTTGCATGGCTTGCAGGCCAACCGGATTCTTTTCATCGACCTGGCAGTCAAACATTGTGTCATCTTTGCTTTTCGAGTGCATAAAACATATGTATGCATACGACAGGGTTAGCTGGACGCCAAGTCTAGACGTGTTTTGTGAAGTGACTGAGGACAGGGAGAGAAGAGCTGATCGGTTGACAACGTGCTCGTCTGTTGACGACATGAGGGGTGGAAGAGCATGCGGGTGAAGTGAACGCCATGTCGCTCTGCTCTGCCCAGTGTCCTACTCTCTGCCATCTGGGGGAGAGGAGGGGGGGGGGGGGGGGGGGGGCGATGTACGAAGTTTTTACTCTACAGGTCTTTATAGCCATATCGTTCCACCTTGCAACTTCAAAGAGCTCCGGGGAGGACCACCGGTACATTTATGGGATGAACAGCCGGTAGTGATGACCGGGAGCCGAGAGGCCGCACGACCCCCGCCGGGATCGGACGTAGAGCGACAAGACACACCGTTTCAACTGTTTACTCAAAGTTAAGTTAAAAATCGCCAGTATTGATCGGATCGGACGGTCGGACGGTGGCAGGTGGCACCCGGTGATCGGACCGTCGGGCGACCGTATGCCGGGCCGCCGCCGGCGCCGGGGACCTACCCGGTGACCCGGCCACTGACCCGGATCGCGGCAGAGGGGCGGCGCAGGGACGGCGTGCCATCATGATGACATCATGGCACTGAATCGCCGGGGCCTCGGACATTGATATAATTACCGTGGCATCCTATCATGATGGCCCCGGCAGAGGCCCTGAGGCCTCGCCGCCCGGGCGGCCGGGATCCGCCACCCGGCCGGGGCCCGGGCGGCGGCCGCGCACTGCGGCATGAGATCATACGGCTATGTCGTGGTCGAGCCGCTGGCCGCCGGCCGGGCCGCGCCCGAGGCCCCGGCAGTCACGTACTGACTCGTAGCAAAGCCGCTGTGCGTGGCTCACTGAGACTCCGCCGCCGGGGTGCACAGTGGCACGCGGCACTGGCCGCGGCAAGGAGCGGGGAGGGCCGCGATGGATCGGAGGAAGGGGAGGGAGGGAGGGGGGAGGAGGAGGCAGAGGCGGTATCGGAAGGAGTCACCGTACGGTCGGGCGGTAACGTGATGCGATACGAGGGTCACGCAACTGGAGCGACCAGTGAGGAGCAAAAGAGTCGATTGTTCTCATAAGATCGGATGACTCAGAGAGCGAAGCGATAGGCCCTCGTGCAAGGTGACGATCTGAATGCCATGGCATCGGCGCAGTCGGTGACCTCGAGATCATCGGGTGTGGGGAAGAGGTCGGAGGCTGCTGGTGCGTTTACAAGGGCAAGTCGGCCTCAGCATTCGGACATGGACTACGACACGAACAAGGTCTGAGAGAAGATACCTGAAGGAGCTGCTTGCACGCGAGATGCCTTGTGTGTCCTGTGCCGACGTCAGGAAGAGCTTCTGCGAGTACGACACATGCCTGACGGTCATCCCAGTCCATGTCGAATCAATGCTGTCGACACACCCTCTCGCTCCGAGACCCTTTGAGTACCGCACGCTTGTTTACTTTACACTCTACTATTTGCTTACATCCCTCCCCTTCTTGCTCCGTGTGCTCAACAGCCGGGCCCGCGATCGCAAGCTCCCCCTTCCTACAGGTACGGTAGCACGCGCTCTCCCCGCCCGTTGTCTCTGCTTTCACAACGCCCCTTGCCGCTCCAAGGCGGCTCTCGTCCTCTCATCCTAGGCAGGCATGGCCTTGCCCCCGAGAGTCTCAGCGTCGGTCCTCGCTGGCTGGTCCGGCGACCTTCTCTTCCTCCGCGTCGCTGCCCGGTGGGTGACCTGTACTCGCTGGATCTCGCGGAGCAGGCTGCAGGGAGCCCCCGGCGCTCCCGTCCTTGAATCACTGCCGCCGCAAGGAGCTGTCGCACCCTCGTCGGCTGGATCAGAGGGGCGGCGGCGTGGCTTGTCGTGGTCGAGCTGGCGGAGGTAGCGCAGCTGTGCGTGGCTGAGGAGGAGCTTCTTGGGCCCGGCGGAGGAGGGGGAGGGGGAGGGGAGGTACCACCTTACGCTGGACTCGACCAGGAGCGGGGAGGGCATGGATCGGAGGAGGGGAGGGAGGGAGGAGGAGGGAGCGTGAGGCTTGTAGGAGGAAGTCGGAAGCTGCTTGATATAGCACTGGGGGGTAAAGTGCGATACGAGGGTCAAGAGTTCATTGTTCCCGGAAGAGAAAACGAAACGTCGCGTTCTCCAGGAGGCACTTAAAGGACTTGGGGAATGCGGCAGTGCTGTCACGGTTTCGGCACGGTCGGGGTCTTTTCTATACCGTGGCAAGAGGTCGGAGGCCGGCCGGGGCGACCTTTTGAGTACTTTGAAGTGAGCGAATCAGCCCTCATTGCTTTCCAAGAGATCCGATCATAGCAGAGTCACGCGCCGAGTAGAGTCACGTGACGGCCGCGATGCGGCTGCATGGGTCGTAATGCCTCTTTACGCAAAGTTAAGTTAAAGATCAGTACTGGGACAATCAGGAGAGTCGAGGAAGCTTGACCCTGACACTGTCGCACAGGCCACCCTGACCGTGACGGCGAGGCTTGAAGAGACTCAAAAGACATAGAGAAACAAACCTAATCCTGCCAACTGAGAGCTCCGTCTGAGTCAGCTTGCCGGGGCCTCAGGATCGGATCGGACGGCGGCCCTGATGAGTCAGTGTCACTGAGCACGGACTCCTTCAACTGGCAAGGTGACCGGGCCCGGGGGTCACTGGACGCCGGGTTCCTCAGCCTGTGACCGTCACCGGGGCTCAGAGAATCACTAACTGGCTTGCTTGGCTAAATTTCGCCTGATGATTTCCAGTGCCGCCGAGCGCCCGGCGCCTCCGGTGGCACCGGGCCCCGCTGTGAATGAATGGCGACTTCAGCGGCGCGCCTGTGCCGGGCCCGGCTGCGGCGCCGCCGGGCCGCCGTAAAGCGCCGGGCGGCGGCCGGGCGGCGGCCGGGCGGCCACCATCGGTCGGGCCCGGCCGGGCCGGTCGGGCCGGCGGTCCGCGGGCCGCCCGCCGGACTCCAGTCCCATGTATATGATAGATACCTACTGACCCCCTTGTTTGAGCGAGGGTGGTAGGGGTAGGGTGGTAGAGTCGAGTTGGGATCCAGTGGGAAAATGCTTTTGAACATTGAAGCGGGGAGGAAAAGCGAGGACAGGATGGGAGGGGAAGAGCGGAGGAAGGTTAGCAGGGCAGGGCAGGGCAGGGCAGGGCCGGGCAGATCCTGAAGAGATGATTCCAGGAATTTGTGATTCTATAAACGGAATGCCGAGAGATTGTACTGGAGAGTAGGCGGAAAATTCGAAACAACGATTCAATCAGGGCAAAAGTCAAAGAAGCATGTACGCCGTATGAAGAAATCTGTAAAGACGAGGAGGAATATGTGATGATATGCACGGGGAGTTGAACGAGACGAGCAGTTGTTGATCAACCAAGCAGCTGTGGTGATGAGGAGAAACTGACTACCCTAGACGTTCCAGGGACGTCTTGACCCTCCGATCCAAGTATATAGGGGTCCAAGAGGAGATGTAATACGTCATCTTCAATTTTCTGTGTTGTTGTTGACGTTGCTCGAGGTACGAGCAGATACAAATTTCGCGTTGTTGACTTGATTGGCAGATGAGTTGCGAACCAATGAGCAAACGTTTTCTCACAGTCATCATCTGCCTCATGCATGTGCGAGCTACGGACGTGCTTCCCACGGTGGACGTCAGCATCAACACTGAAACTTCCAGATTGCTGGTGAGATATGTAATGTTACTGTCTAATGCAGTGGAAGTGACGGCAGTCAAAGGCGTTTACACAGGGCTCACAGTGGGTGGAGCCGAGAGTGAATCAGAAAGAAACGCTCCTGTTGCGCCTTTGTGGAGGCTCTGATCACGACCAGTCATCTCCGTTTACAGGCGAAGGATGGATGGTAAAGGTTTGAACAACCCTTGACGTTCTCTGACTAGTCACAGGAGACAAAACAGGATCAGGATGACAATCGGAATGCCATGTACAACTTAGGTCAAACAACATGAGTTGTTGTTCTGTGATACCGATGATATTGCTGCAGATGATTCAGAGAATGTCAGAGAGATCAAGAGATTTCTTGCTGAGCGGCCGAAGAAAGTTGAACCAAGGTTGATTCGTTGAGATAGTGTATTCCTAACTCACCAGGAATGTAATTCGCAGACAAGTGATTGGTCGTGGTTTGTATACCATCACATCACAGGTTCTGGAAGAAGGCAAGACAATGCTTTTGTGTGAGAAGAGCGTGACGTCTTCGTCAAGGTGGAGGAAATGCAATGCTGGGGGGAGAGGAAGCGTCAAATCCGAAAGTGCAAGACAATTCACCCAACAACAGCCGACGGAGCAACCTCCGCCTGCCTGAAAACCGTGAGAGGTTGACTTGGTTGCGATCTGTTCACAATGGATATTCACGCTGGGATCCTCTGGACGAAGATGAAGTGAAAGTGATGTTCTTGTCCAAATGTCTGCTTGTTTCTGAAACGGGATGAAGGGAGAGCAGGAGGATGAGTCGGCCAAAGTGGAGAACACCCAGATCTTTCTTGATGCGCTGCAGATGAAGCCCAACGACGTCGACATTCTTTTCAACTTTGCACAGTACCTCACTCGATCCGGGAAAGGAGACGATGTGGGTTGATACCAGTTGTGTGGACCGCGGATGACAGGAGGGTTCATCAGGCAATCACGTACTTCGATCGCATCCTTCAGCTCGATCCGACACACTACTTGACGCTGGACAGGTGGGCTGACCTTGTGCTGTCTCGAGAAGTTAAACTCTGAAGCTTGATCGATCAGATATGCCACACTTCTTGACTTCCAGGGTGAGAAGCTGGACAAGGTTTCGACTGCCTTGTGAGAAATACGTGCTGACATACTGGCAGGCTCAAGAGATGTACCAAGGCGCGATGCTCTTTGCAGACACTCCTCAAAGCCAGGGGATGGTGAGTCTCTTAATGTGCTTGTTTTTTCAATGATCTCACCAATGATTTCACCTCAAGGTATGTGCAAATTTTGCACAATTTTGTTTTTCGCGCAAGAAAGACATTGAAGGAGCAAAACAACTGTACATGAAGGTTGTCTATGATGATGACAACGACGATGATGATGCGATTGCTTGATTCATTGACTAGAACCTGATCAAACTGTTGATTTCTCAGGCAATCTCTCTTGACCCGGAGAAATCGCAATACCTCACATATCTTGCGCTGGTCCTGCAGCATGATGGCGACTACGATGGTAATGACATGGAAGATCCTTTTGACAAGTCGTTGACATTTGTGTTGGGGCAGAAGCTGAGAAATATTTCTCCCTGGTGGGTTATGCGATCCTGATGTCTCGATTTGCTCCTTGTCCTATAAAGAGATTTCGATACCGTGAAATATGAATCAATCATTTCAATTCCCCAGCACCTGATTTGATTTTACTGCTTTGCTTTTGGATTTTTCAAGCGAGGCTGTCTGATCTGGTTTGCAGGCGACTGGATTACAGCAAAGCGACTTAGACAGCCTGAACGCATATGCTGTGAGCAGGAGGAGGAGGAGGAGGAGGAGGAGGAATATTGGTGCACACTTTGATATGCTCTGCAGATGTTTCTAGAGAGTATCAGAGGGGACCTTGGTGGGGCGGAGGTGAGAAAGAGAGGAGGAGCGAGCGATGTTGGTGCTAAGATCTCTGCAGGAATGCTATCGGAGAGCATTCGAGAATGATGACAAGTGGGAGTTGTTCTGCTTTCTCTTCTCCCCCCCCCCCCCCTTCTCACTATCCCTGTCCTCTCCTCCTCCTCCTCCTCTGCCTCCCTCTCCCTCCTCCTCCCTCCCTCCTTCCCTCCCTCCCTCCCTCCCTCCCTCCTTCCCTTCTCCTCCAATGTTTTCCTGTGTGTGCTTCTGGTTGCTTTCACTTTCACTGTTTGTATTTCTCTTTTTTCTCCATCCTCGCCCTCGTCCTCCTATCGTCTTATCTTATCTCTCCTATCGTCTCCTCTGATTTTACCTGTTTTCGTTGCCATCTATCGTTCCCTCCGTTCTTCTTTTTCCCTGCGCGGCTTAACACATACCAGGCATGTTCCCACACTCGTGAACTTCGCGCATCACCTTCACACTCTCCGAAAGGACAACGATCTAGGTCTGTTTGTCTTGTTGCCGTTTTCCTTTCCCGTCTTCTTCTTTACAAGTGTTTACTGTCCGGTTCTCACACTTCCACTGAATGTCTTCATGATAGCTGAGATCATGTACAAGAGAGCGCTCAGCGTCTGCCCAACCAACATCAACGCTCTCACCAATTATGGTTTCTTCCTCGCCACAGTCCGTGAAGGTTGTTGGACTCCCTTTGCGATTGACGTGTCACATTCTTGGGCAGATGACTCTTCTGCAAACCATGTGTTCAAGGTCCCTTGCCTGCCCTCACAGAGTCTGTTCTGAGCGCAACGGCAGGCGGCACTGCAACTGGACCCCACTAACGACATGATTCTGCTCAACATGGCTGACCTGACCGCCAAAATCGCCGAAGACTACAGGTTTGCTCTATTTCTTCTCTCCGACTGCTCGCGTGACCTGTTCGCTGACCTTGTTTCTGGTTCATGTCTGTTTGTTTGACTCGTTTGCTGCAGCTTTGCAGAGTCGCTCTACCGTCAAGCTCTGCAGATCAATCCGACTAACATCATAATCATTGTAAGAGTTGACACGAGAAAGACGGCTCGTTGACAACTTGAGCAGAACAACTTGGGTCAGTTCCTCCATCAAGTTCTGCAAAGAATTCCAGAAGCAGGTGAGCGCAAGATGTTTGCAAGTCATGTCAGTGACTGTCTGCTGTACATCTCGCTATCTGTCTTATGCACGTCTTGCTGTGCCCGCTCTCTGACGAGCTCTGCAGAAGAGATGTTCATAAGGGCTCTGTCCATTCAGCCTGCCTTTCCCGTCGGTGAGAACAGTAGAAATCTCTGCCATAAGTTGCTGACCTTGCGCAGCGCTTTCCAATTATGCAAACCTTCTGCATCACAAGGGAGAAAAGCAAAAGGTGAGAAGAGGATAGCTCTCAGTGTTCTGGACTGAAATCCCATCTCTTCCTCCTCCCTCTTCTCCTCTGTATGCTCCCTCCCTACATCTTTCCTTTTTCGTCCTCGCCCTTCCAACCATCTTTGTTTTCCCTCCCTCCGTCCTTCACTCTTTCACGATCGTTCAGGCACGAGAATACCTCGACAAAGCTATCAATGCCGGTAATCTCAGACTTGCAGCCATCGCTCCCTTCCCTCCCCTCTCTTCACCTCA